ATTTAAATATAATTTTATTGGTAAATATGAAATGTTCAATGATCATTTCAATTCTTTTCGCGAAATTGCTAATTTATCTGATTGGAATATTGAAAAGCGAAACGGTCCATCAGGTCTCACTACATATGATTATCAAAAATTTTATTCAGAATTGCCAGATGATCTAATCTGTCAGCTCATACGTCTCTATGATCAAGATTTTCGTCTATTCAAATACCGAGTAGATGATTATATTAATCGACCTACATTATTAGAAAATTGTAATCAGTTGAAAACACTTTAATAGATTTTGATCAATTAGCTATAGTTTTGCATATTGATCGATCTAATCCGGTTAATTTGCATAATGATAATTGTTGAATTTTGAAAAGCTTTATTCATCTGAATTTTTATTTTTTTGTTTGTATGTATATGATCTGCATTTATTTTGCAAAAAACTTTGTTATTATTTATGGCTTTATGTTGCAATAAAAAAAAATATTTTATTTAAAATTATCATTTCACTACAAATACTGTTATCATCATATTCTCAACAATGAGTGATTCGGAAAAGAGACATTTCGCATCAACTTTTTATTATGATTTGCTCGAGGAGATGTTCGTTTCGATTTCCCGACATATACGGAGTAGGTATGAGTGTATAAACCATTATTCTCTCATACTTCACACCCATACCAACCCTTCGTATATGGATGTGGTGTTCGAGAACGTATGTCGAATTTTTGTTCAGTTTTATAATTAGTGATAGATTTGATTGATGTGGAAGATGGACGATTTGTGGGTTCTTTATCTTTTGTATTCTATCAGTCTGTTTGCTAAATGAATATTGGATATTGTTGATCAAGAGTAGTGGGAACTGATTGATGTCTGATCAGAAGTCTTATAGTTGGTATCTGGTAAACTTACGTTAGCGGTGGTCTATGTTGGATTCCAGTAGTACGGATAAAATCATTCGAGCAACGGGTGGTATTATATTATATGAATGCTAAAAAAATTTGATTTATCAAAACGATCAAACCACATTTTTAATTCTTCGAAATCGTCGGTTAGAAAATAAATTAGCTGTGGTATTCCGTTAATCAATGGAGAAGAAAAATCAATAAAAGAATTGGTTTGAGCAGATTAATCGATACGACAAATGGAACTAGTTGAATCTTCAGAACAGACTACATACTGGTTACTCTTTATTTTTTATTGCGCATACTACTGTAATATTCGGGAGTGCTTACATGAATTATAAAAAAGGAAGACATAAGCTTTTAAGCGTTGAGCTGCAATATGAAAGCCGAGAGTCGTTGACTCTCCACCCGATCTTGAAATCTTAATCTACCTATCCATGAGCGAGATTATGAAGGGTATAAGAGAAGGGGAAGAAAAGGAAAAAGAACAATATAAAGGTAAAGCTACATCGAATTCTAGTGCAGTTTCAACAGTTGATGCACATAAACGATAAGAAACAATGAAGATGAGAGACGAGAGAGAGGATATCGGAAGCGAGTCAATCGGTATCTAATTCATCAGTGCTAACCATTTTAAAAGTTAGGATTCATACCTTTCTAACAATTTCTTTACACGTTTAGTTCGAAACATTTGAGTCGAGTGACTTGACTCATATTCTCTCTCTTGTAGAGAAGAGTCTTGCAGAAATAAATTGCTTGCTTTCTTGATTGCTTGTGTATGCGCAGGGTCAAAAAAACATCGAAAACCAATTTTTCGAAAAAAACATTTCTAGAGGTATTTGGATGCGGGGACTTCGGATCTGAGATTTGTTCGGTGGCCATGGCGAGGGGGGGGCGAAAATCAAAAAATCATCAAAGAGCAATTTTTCATGATTTTCAGTTGTTTGTCTAGTAAATGTGAACAGGATACGTTTCTACGAGAAAGAGCTAAGTGAATCCTCGGACGAGCCTTACTTGTTGAAGATAAAACAGGAGTATTTATAAGACGAGAGATGTTTACTTTTTTGATTATTTTTATCTACGCAATATAATGTATTGCGGGAAAGATCTATATAATATCGTCGGATGATTATAAAATATTTTTATTTGAAAGTGGGTTAAGTAGAATGTAGAAGACGTGAGATACTGATTATAATTATTTTTTTCAATAATTTGAAGTCTGAAATTTATACAGAACGTAAGTTATTAATCAGAGTAAGTTTCGTATTTAACAGAGTTATTGCAATTTTTAGGGAACGTGAGTTATTAATGAGAATAAATTTTTAAAATAGATAAAGGTATTGTAATTTGTAGAGAATGGATATGGTATTGAATATAATTTATTTCAAATACTTAAGGTAATCTACAATTGGTAGAGGACATGTGTTATTCAGTACAATATACAAATGCCGACAAAAACTAAAGAAGTACCTAAAGTCTAACATAGACTGAAACTGAATGAAATAATTTTTGATCGTTAACTAGGTGATAATGCTATAGTACGAGCAAGGATTGTGAAGAACGAAGAAAAAAATCGAAGATGTATATCATTGAAAGTGAGAAGGACGTTTCAACAAGGTTTATTATAATTCGTATGATTATCTAATAGATATTCCTTGCTAAAAAAATTCTTATCAGATCCACTATTTTGGATGACATAATTAAGATTTTCATCAGATTTTAAAAAAATTGAATCAAAAGTACGAACAATAAATATATAATTTCTTATTGTAATTCAGCGAAATTTATAAATAGCAGTAAAGCAGAATAGAATTGAATAGATCTACATTAAGCAAGCCCTATACATTGCAGTTACTTTGGACAAAAATGAAAAAAATATAACTTCTTTTTAAATCTTGAATTTAATTGAAACAAACTTAAATTTTGGTATATCTCTATGCTCGCAATTTCGAATTGTTAAAAAAAACATTAAACATTGTGTGGTATAATCCAACAAAAAAATCTTCCATTGAAATTTTGTTTGTTTATTGAGTGTTATTGTTATATTCTCAGTTTTAATATATTATCTTATTAATTTATCGTTTTATTTCGATAATTCAATCAATTCAGTAGAATTTAATAAAAAATCTTGTTTTATTCTTTTCAATGAACAATACATTTTTGTTTTAGTTTATTTTATTTATTTGATCATCTCAATGATTCGTCAGTATAAATTAATATTAACAATTTTTTTTATTGTATTTTTGGAATTTGATCATTCAGATAAACAAAAGGTTTTTTATTTTTATCAATTTCAATAAGAAGTAAATCATAAGTATTGTTTTATTAAAACACTTTTCTTCATCATCTACTTGAAATGTCGATAAAGAAATTTTCGGTAACTAGTAAGAGAGTAATTATTTTGAAATAAAATAAAATAACGAAACTTTGTTAGATAGGAACAAGAATATGTCTTGTCATATTTGACAACAAAAATTTTACTTGAATAATTACAAGTTTAATTGAAAAACAGTAAAAGACAAAAAACTGAGAAAAGTAGAATTTGTTTACTAAAAATAGATGAGGCGACAACACTAACTCAATGATGTAAATACATCAAATCCTTTATTAAATAGTACATATATCTATGTGTTGTTTGTCATGTAGTTTCATTACTCCGTACAGTAAGCAAAGAAAAAGAAAGGACGTTGGGGGTATAATGATAGTGTGCTCACTGAGATGTAACGACGTCTATGACCTATACTTTTACAGAACGATCGAAAAAAATATATATAAGCAGTCACCGTACAATAACTGTTCATGTTATTTTTTGACACACTGAAATTGTGTAATAATCGTGTGTTTTATCAAATATTGGAGTATATTAAGTCATTTATTCCTCAATACATTTAATTGTTAAATATGTCTGGAATCGAATTGAAAACTATTTCATTCACAACGATTCGAATGGATTTGCTACCAGCACTTCCAACTCGACAACGTCGTTCAATCGGCATTGTCGAACCAGAAAACTAATACCAGTCAAGAAGTTTCAGCAGATTGTCGATTAATTACATGTGATGATCTCCAAGTCAATTCATCTGAACATGTTGTTTGTACAGTTAAATGTACAAATCTTATATTTTATCCATCACTTTTTGTGCAATGGTAGTCAAAAAGGATATATTACTTTAAATGGTTAATATAATAATAAATTCAAATTCAAATTCAAATCTTTTTATTTATTTCTCTTCTAGGTAATATAACAAATTCAATTGGAATGGTTGTTGCTTTTATTCCTGAAGGTTTACCAGCTGCAGTGACTCTTGTATTAACTATTGTTGCTAAAAGAATGTATAAACAAAAAGTACTTGTTAAAAGTTTAGCGACAGTTGAAACATTTAATAATGTCTCTGTAAGTGATCTAACTATATATCCGAATATGATTAATTAATTTTGTTTTTTTCTACTAGATAATTGCTACAGATAAAACTGGTACATTAACAATGAATCAAATGACAATAACAGCAATTCTATGGGGTAATCAAGGTGAATATATGGTTTCAATATATAACATTGATGGTAACACAGTAGTGGATGATAGACGTATTATCAATCGACAGTGACCATCATTTAATGGCTTACGTGGAATACCTCATAATACTTCAAAATAAGAAAATATATCTCTTCCAGTGTGCTTAAACTAGGGGTGAGAATTCTTTGTTATTGTTATAAATAACAATAACTTTTTTTGTTATTTGTTATAAATAACAGATAAATAACAATAACTTTTTTTGTTATTTGTTATAAATAACAGATAAATAACAAATAACTTTCATTTTTGAAAAATATCTTTTCTCACCCCATTGTATATTTTAATTGTGTCCGTTATGTAAACTTACATTTTGGAACGAATTTTCTATATCTCTACTACTGATTTAGATGGTTCAATCAAGATATGAAGCTAGCAGAATTTTCAGAAAAAAAAGTTATTGTTATTTACCTGTTATTTATAACAAATAACTATCATAAAAAAGTTATTGTTATAAATAACAAATAACTATTAGGTTGACCAAAAACTTCTGCAATACTTTCGACCTTCAACCTTTCCGAAAGTGTTGCAGAACTTTTCGGCCAACTTAGTAAAATTGTTATTGTTATTTGTAACAATAACTTTTTAGTTATTGTTATTGTTATTTATAACAACGAGATACAATAACTTCTCACCCCTAGCTTAAACTATAATCTGAAGATCTAATATTCTGTAACTATACCTAACTTTAGTCAGTCTATCCATTGGTGAAGAAATATTGCTTTTCGAAGATCTATATATATTTAAAAAAATGAGTGTGTACTAAAAATTTATTTCTTCTATAACATTTTTCGGTCTTCATGGATCTTAGTAGAACAAGTTAAATGAACTCCATTCAATGGTAACATCAGTTTCTAATGTGTCATATTTTACGATATACTGTGTAACACATTAAAGTGTAAAAATAACTTCACCGTATTTCACACTTTTCTGCTAGACATGCAACATTTACTTAGAACTCGTTCGAGTCTATTCGTTATATGTTCTATACTGTTTAGTTTTTATTTCATTCATAAACGAATGATGTTTATGTTCGTATTGATTTGAAATAGATTACGCGTTTACTCTTTACTTTCGTTCTTCAAATACCAAACGGTAAATATCTGAAGATGTTGCATAGTAGTAATTATTAAACTTAAAAGTTCAATGAATCATTGAAGATCTCTCTAAATACTCGTTTATTAAATACTTGAAACAAAAATATTTAGATATTCAGATAAATTTCATCATAGAACATCATGTTTTGTTATTACAATTGAGAAGAGGAATAGAAAGCATTCTCTAAAAAATTAACTTTTTCTTCGTCAGATTTCAAAGTCAAAAATTTCTCGAAAGTAATCTCACGATTCAGATTTCAGTTCTTTATTATGCTTTAGTTAAATCAATAAAATATCGTCAAATAGTTAATAACTTTGGCGTTATGACTTATTTACTAATGTAACAGCAGTTTTCTTCCTTCTAGTTTCTACTACTACCGACATTCTTCCGAAACATGTCACAGTTGAATAGGAGAACGCGTGTGGTTCACCTTCAAATTCTTATGAGTGAGAGGACGATCATTTGTGGATCTGTTTATCTTTTAAGTCTCATATCTTTACAATAAGTAGACTTAGAAAATCGTCACTTTCGAAAAACCGTGAAGAATAACAAAAGAATTAATTAAGAATATCAAATTTTATTTTTTATTTTACATTTTTAACTTAGAATACTATAATGAGCGTGCAATTGGCCCATATTTTGTAGGAAAAACAAAGTTCAAACTTCATTAATTTAAGCATATTACATAAAGTTTTGTCGATTTTAAAGAGAGAATCTATTATTATAGTTAATTTGTTTTCATATTTTACATCAGATTTAAAATTCTACTTCTCAATTTTTCAATCTCAACTTCAATTTCAGCTAAATTAAGAGTTATTTTATCAAAATTTCCTAATTAAATATTATTTTTATTTTCAGAAAATAAAAATTTATCATAGAACATACATTGATATAAATTCATCTCGTTTTCACAATCTATCATATTAAGATGTTTATTGAGTTAACTCGATATTTTGGTTTTGTTCGATTACATAAGAAATATTATATATGTGCAATTACTTTAACAAGTCTCTTCATCGTATCTCACTGTTATAGAAATAGATTTCTCAAAAATAAAAATGTAGATTCACAACAAACTAAGATAACAGAGACAAGCCCACATTTATCAACATCTATGGCTTATCAATATTCGCCAAGAATATTCAATGAAAGTCCTAATTATTCGTATTTATCATCATGTGGAAGCCAAAAGTATCCTTCTCACATGTCGGAACGCATAAATGACTTAATCAATACGATAACTATAGTCCTGAAATCTCACTCTCTGGTGTATTGTGCTGTTCCGAAAGTAGCAACAAAAACTCTTCTTAATTTCATGCTTTATATGCATGTTAACGATATAATTGATAATCTCGAGCATAATTGGACAAATATTGATGCTGGTAGAGCACAAGTGGAAAAAAGAATTAATATTGGTTCTTACATACATGAACTTCGACAGGTATGACAAAAAATACTGATGCTATTTGTCAAAAATATTTTAATGTTTTATTTATATTTTTTATTTCAGCATGGAATTATAATTCCAAAAAGAGAAGTTCCAAAATCTCTTGCAGGATTTCTTCGTATGTATCTTAATGTTCTTCGATTCGGCAGTATTGATAAAACATATTCATCTCAACCACTTAATCCTTGGAGACTCACTTTTACACACTCATTTCCTTATCTTCATCTACGTAGTCTCCTTAATTTATCTGATATATTCTCACC